TACCATGATCTGTTATTCGTACCAGGACCCACACGTACGCAATGAGACGCATTGTATAGCTCGTCCAAGCGCCCCACCCTTCTTCATTTTTCTGGTTTCATTCTCGTCCAGCCCCCTTTTTAACGTTTTTGCGAAGCCTTTTTTCACATTGGAAACACCGATTCACGCAGTTTCTTCAGTCGCACTAGTTTCGATCTTGTCTTCCATTATTCATTATAATCTGGATTGCCCAAAATTATCGTGAACGGTGCCTTTAACAAGTACGACCCCATCACAGTTTGATAAGTATTGGTGTACGCAGCTGTTCAGGTCCTACTTTTTCAAGTGAGCACAGAATGCTTTATCATTTTGTGTTGTGCCATTGCCATAACAGTGCCTGATGATACAATTAACAACAATGTTTCGATATGTAGTTTTAGATGAGTAATGGAAGTGATAAACTAGAACGGTGCAGAAGTAACGATAAAAATTGGGAAAGAAACGCGAAAATCGGCATATTTGGAGAAATGCAAACCTTCAACAAGGTAGTAAATTTAGGGTTGAAGAATGGCGGCGACAAAAGTTGCATGGAAGAGGGTTTTGGATGAGCTGTCTGTCCAAATGCGTGTGACGTGACTTGCAGCTGAACACAGTAAGCTGCCTGCGTGTAAAGTGTGCGTCCCGGGCGAATGGTGCAAGCTCTACAGCCTCTATGAGAACTCGTCCCCTAAGGGTGTGTACCGGCTGAACGACTTGGAAGTCTTGTCACCTGTCAGGTCCTTCGTGCTACCCGTGAGGAACCTTGAGGGCGCACAATCCCACACCCCATGGTCCGAGGTTCTAGACTCGACCACCCATGTGCCTAGGTTAACGAAGACTTTCATGCTTCCAAAGTTAGCGGGTTGGTACAATACCCATTTGCTGAAAAGAAAGTACTCACTTGTGTATCGGCTAGTCACTCCGCAAGCATTATAGGCCATAATGCCCTCAAAAACTCCCACTACGATTCTAATTCTAATTCTAAATTCTAATCAGATATCGAACGCGCGGGGGCGTCTTAATAACAGAATTGGTGAACGTCATAAACTTTACACTACTAATAGTAAATCCTTTATCATATTTTAACGAACGGTGTCATAGAGATCGCCACAGTCCTGTTCCCGTACCCGTTTTTCTTCTTCCTCCATACCATTAGTTTGCATAGCAATTCTTTCAATTCACGTCGGAAAGACCTGAAAATAAATTTTTCATGTAAAGTCTCATAGGTTCAGCTGATTTTCACTTAATGAAAGATTTAGAATGTTTTAAGCGATGCTCGTAGAGCATGATGTGCATCATCTTTATCTCCTGTCGTCCCACCGGTCACCGATTTCCTCGAGCGACTATTATCTCTTGCAATGTGTCCGGCCCATCTGATTTTCCTTTTCTTATCGTAGTCGACGGCATCCCTGATCTTCGCTCCTTGACAGAGCTCAAAACTCCAGATAAGTATCCGGCTTGCCTTCATTGGGAAATTCCGAGCATCACCCAATTCAATGACTCTGACAGCATGCTCACCCTGTTTTCATTGAGTGTAATTCTCCGAGGTGTACATCAAATCAGGAAGTACCGCAATATCGGAAAAGTGAGCTCAGAGTCGGATGTTTATTATCTTTATCACTACTCAATCGATATTCCTGAATGCTCCAGCGCTTACTTCGGCTCAATTGCGGAGCTTGTTCGTTGACGTTGACTTAGATACACATAACTGGAGCACTCTTCGACCTAGGACACATAACTGGAGCACTCAAGATATTTAATTCAGCATAAAGGGAGCATTAGGAACCAATCCGTTCTTCATGAACATCGTGTTCGTCATGTTCAGTCTCGAGCCAATCCTTCCACGAGCACTGACGAATTCGGCCAGCATCGGTTCTGTCTGCTCGATTTTCGGTGCTAAATATGATCAAAGTGATGTCCACAAAGCGGAGGTGATGGAACAGAAGTCTACTTCCACTCAGAAGTCCTCCCACTCCAAACAACGTTTGATATTCTGGAGGGCGGCATTTAAAAGCTTAGGTGAGTATGGGCATGGAACCACTGTCTTCACAATGACCATGACTTCCTTATAGAGCGGTGAATTCTTGGTCCTGACGTTGTCGTAGAACTTTCTGAGCATTCTCGTATATCAAAAAGGAACACCCTCGTCACCAAGTGCTTCATTTACCGCTTCTGTGTTGGAAGTATCAGAGGCTTTCTACAAATCGATGAACGTCAGACATAACCGCATCGTAAGGATCCCACTTCCCTCCGTAACACAGCCTTGCTAGTTTTACACGACGCGAGCACTTTTCTTTCCGACAGGTGCCGCGTGAAGAGCCTGGTCAGAAATCTGAATATAACTGATGGAAGGCTCTTTAGATGTCCTGGTGTGGCCGTATCGGTACCGTGCGCTGTAGAATTCTAGGCGACTTGATGAATGTAGATTATTGAAAAGCGGCTGTACGAGAGATGCGAGTAAAAGTCTTAGGTGACCTTCTCGATTTCCTTCGAGATGTACTTCGCAAGCTCAGATATCCAATGATGATTGCCTGCAGCTCGCGCGGTTCCACGCTGGCGTATCAGCTTAAGAGTCTTCGTAGAGAGACGTTGTCCATCGATGTTGTCGAACGGAACGTTCCCATAAACTTGCAAGGGAATACCATGGACAGAGTCATGAAGGTCTTGCAACTTCGTTTCATCAACTTTACAGGTTCCTCTCCCCGCGCTGAAAAACAGAACCTAACGCGGACAAGAAGATGGTTCGGCCCTTTGTAGAAGTTTGAAATATAGCGGCGTCAATCAGGCGAAACTTTCGATTGAATATGATGTGATCGATTTTATTACGGAACTGTTCACCATATGACTTCCATGTTCATCGCAGTTGAGAGAGCTTTCGAAAGTGCGAATCTCCTAGGATGCTGTTGGTTACTATGATAAAATCGGACAGTCTTTCACCCCGGTCATTCCATTCTGTTCCGTGAATCCCGATGCAAAGCCTTTCAACCGTTCCTATACAGCCACTATGACGTTGAAATCACTGACAATGACTTCGAAGAAAGTGCGGTCCTATCTGGAAAGCCTTATCAGGTACATGTTAAACGCTTCTAGCTCATTTTCGTGGCCTNTGTACATGGCCAAGTGCGTGTCGGCGAGGACACCTACGCCGTCGACGCCTTTGCTGCCGCATATTTCAGCGAACAGTTCTTCCAAATCCATGGAAAGACAGAGTGTGCGGCGATGCCTACTGTCGGTCTGTTCGATGATCTTCACATCGTACTTGATCTTCCTACCTGGCATCATCATATCACAAGTACACGCTTCTGATGCAAGCATTCGTGCGTTGAAAAAACAGATCGCTTTTTTAGTCTTTCTCCACTTGAACAGCCTGCTCTTGGTAGCCATTCTCAAGCAGTCCTACCCAACAATGCAGTGTTGGGGGCTCTCCCACGTTCAAAGACTGTCCATGCAATTTGCATGTGGGAACTCATACCAAAAACCACATCTGTTATCGCCCAAGGTAGCCTCGTTACTAACCGGTCAGAAATCGCATTCTGTGAGAGAAAGCCCTAGCAAAGTAGATCCGTAAATAATATGGGTACATTGCGAATAAAAACCTGATAGAACTTACGGGCAAAACATCAGATAAATCAAGGGACCAATACTGTTCCACACCACCCATAGCACTATTACAATGTATCTGATGTAGAATTTTGGAGGAATAATCGGAATGACAAACTCGCATATCGAAAAGCACAGGATTTGGTAACCACTTTGTGGGAATACCTGCAGCAAAAAAAGGCGTAACGAGGTGATGCTGTGAAAAGTTTCTGGGACTTACGAGAAGCGTGAGTCGGAGCTCCGAAGTATGCCGCAGCAGTGGATATTTCTGAAAAACGCATCCTAGCAAACAAAATCAAACAAAATAATCTTCATTCATGGAATGGAAGTAGCCTATGTTGCTGCTTATACTGAGTTGACATATTTTATAGTAATCATGAAGGGGCCCTCTCCCTAACACTGGGGAAGGTTCAACATCAATAGAGTCCAGATTGCCGCTAACTGATATAGGCGTTAAAACTGCCAAATATGCTCCCCAAACAAATCATGTCCTCTCAAAATTTGCCTGGAGATAGTTTCAGTCGTAGTGTGCGGCTGTCTGCAACAAGCTAGCGGCTGCGGCGCAGAGGGAGTGCTCTACCTTGTGAATCGAAAGCGTGGTTTTGCTTCCTTAGGTCTCCATTCAAAGCTCCGTAGTAAAATGAAGCACCCTACTTCTAAGGAACACCCTACGTAAAGTCATGAGGCCACGTGCAAGGAAATGGATGTGGCAGTCACCTCGCTGTGTTGCATCGGAACCAGGGTCTCAACCGTGTGCCAGGACCCATAGACGGATTTGTGTGGCGACCGGATTTCTGTACTACGTTTTCGTCTCTGTATCCTCAACTGATCAAAAACGGTGGCACTAGCGAACATTGTAGTTTGGCGGAAAACCCATTTCGTACTTTCGAAAATGAATTTTCGTCTTGAATCTGCCAGTTTTCAACCGATAATGTTGCCCCAATGATGATAGCTTCTATGGATACTGTGGATACTCCCTCCCTTCACTACAATCTCAAGCCTGCTGACTCTGGGTGGTTTTTCTACTCAAACTCCTACGGCAAGCCGCACTGGTGTGGGCTTCGGTCTGTCACGTGAATCGATTTGATCACTTCTCTTAAAGAAAACCGATGGCTGGACCTTCTTACCTTTAGATTGAGGGGTGCACGTTTTAGCCCAGTACACGAGGAGAGCCCAGTGCTCAAATTTATTCGTCTCAACAGGGCCATGCCTCCAATATGATGGGGCGTGCATGCGCCTGCGTATTCAGATTTGAGATGATCATAATCAGATGAGATGAGAAATTTATTACTGCTTATATCTACAGGGAGTCCAAAATTTATGAGCGCCAATATTCAGGAAATTCTGAGGTAGAAATGTTTTTTTAAATTCCACTTAACTCTTTATCATTTAGCTGCACAAAAAAGTTTTCTTGCAATCTGCATAGCTACCCAGTAGAATTCCTTATTCTGCAATCGTTCGCATACAAGAAGCGGAAGGACAAGGTAAAATTCCCTGTGATTCCAATAATGACCGAACGGAAGGCTATCAAACGATACAGAGAAGCAATGTTAATCAAATGAAAACCCTGAAGGGATAGACAAGGTAGCAAAAGGATGGCAACGGAGCACGACTTATCGAAGTTATCGATAGGGCGGATTGTCAAGCAAAAGCTCCATTGCTATTCCTACCTCATACAGAAATGCCACTTTATTTCTGATCTCAGTAGACATTGGAGGGTCAAAAAATTCAGGAGGTTGCTAACTCAATCAAATGAGAACACGCATCCCCTCATCGCTTTCTTGGATCAGAAAATTTTTACGACAAAGCCAATACTCATCAAATTAAACGATCGCATTCTGGCTAGAATCATCGAGAGTTCAATCTCTCATGATAAAGTTATCATAGGGATAGCAAACTGACGCCTTTTATGCGAATGGCGGGCAATGTTGAAATGCGCTGGTATCGTGGGTGCAGGCGTGAAGTTAGGGAAAGGCGTGCACTTCAAAGCATACTGATGAGCGCAATGAAGCACTGATTCGACCTCGCTTTTTGAAACAACCCGTAGTCCTTTTAGCAGGACGGTGCTCTAGCAAATAGAGCCAAGTTCGTTCATGAGTGGTGCGACACTAGCTGCCCGACTTCTTCAGCAATGAAAAATCCATCTATTCGTACTAATGGGCATAATGGGGAGATATGGAGGTGTGAATGTAGCTTCTTATTGAACATGATGCAAGCAAGCATGCGTATGGATTTCATCAATATTCTATGCTTAGAAGCTTCAAATTCACTGCAATGAATAGACCCTCATAATTTTGGAACACCCTGTACATGTAGCGGTAGTAAGTGTCGAGTCAATAAGCTATCAGTGAGAACCATTTGAGATCTACTAATTCTAACAAAGACTGCGCAATGAGGTGTGGCTTATGATACTGCTATTGCACCTAATCACATTTTCTAATGTTCCCCAAACAATTTATGGTTCATGTAAAGATTGAAGTCGGTTATCATGCAGCTACGGTCATGCATCTATACATCTTTAGCACTTGATTCTAGCGGCTCCATGTTCCCGTAAAAGCGTTAATGGACTGTATTGTTGCATTATGCAGTAGCATACAAGCAAAGACAACTCACAAGGAACAAAACTGCAAAAGTGACAGAATAAAATAGAGTATTCAGAAGAGCTGCACCAAGGCTGCTCATAGCATCTATTATCACACCAATCCAACTATATACATAGTCTAAAATGTTCGCATAAGCATATAGCAATGTCATTATTTCTGAACTATAGAACATGAGTACTTTGACTTTCGGGATGAAACGTGCTTGCGTGACCTACAAAGTGAGGTACAGTACTCGCCGTAAGAACTCAAAAATTTGCGACAATAACGCGAGTTCGCGTCTTTTTCGTCTTTTCTTTATAAGTCGCTTTAAAATAAATTAATCGAGGAGAAAAAATACCGTTGAACTCAGCTCATCAAGCTCTACAAGACGATACCCTAAAATGTTGAAAATGCTTTATTTTGGATTGCGCCATTCAAACT